CTTTATTGTCACGTTAATAAAGGATGTCCAAGGCAGTGGGGGCTGTGAATGGTCCATTGTTATCCAAGAGAAGGGGTCAGTGTGATCAAGTTCAGGTTTTGTTCATAGGAGAAATGTGAATGTTCATGCCCCTGGTGGGTAAGCAATTATTCTATAGTGGTGGTGAGAAATGTTTCATTTTAGATATGCTAGGAGGGGTAGCTGCAGCCTAAAGAGAACGCCCCCACCCCTCCATTTCAAAGGACCAGAGTTCTCCCCCATTCCCTGGGGATCCATTGATCCACAGAAATAAAGCCCGTATCTTCTCTCTGTGGAATAGTAGCAGCCATCGGGCAGAGAAGAAACACGCCTAGGGCTGTGACATTTGCCAGACACTAGACAGAGGACTGTTAGAGACTAGGGTTTGATGATTTCTGTAAGGAGAGGTGATGGACTGAATGGGGTGGGAGGGAGGGGCGGAGGGACACGAGAATGCCACAGGAGGGAAGTGATCCAGGCTCAGTGTGGCTCCTTTGCAGCCTGTGGTGTGTGTTCTTGAGAAAAGGGCTTTGGGAAAGATAGGGATTCGTCCCCTCCTTCCTGGCCACTGAAGGAAACAGAGAGGCAAAAGGCTGGTAAAAATAAGCTGCTACAGAAGCTGTAAGGAACCTAGGGAGCAGAATTCTAACCCCTCCACCCCACAGTCAGCCAGAGTAGCTCCATTTTCATGTTTCATATACTGGCTGATCAGTTAACATTTGCTACTTAACAAACCTTCCCAAAGCTTAGTGGCTTACAACAGCAACCTTTCATTTAGTTAATGTTTCTGTGGGACAGCAATTTGGGCTGGGCTAGGCTCGCTTATCTTGGCAGGGGCTCACTCATGCATCAGTGGTCAGCTTCTGGGTAACTGAGGCTGGTGGCCTGGGGTGCCTGCTTTCTCCTCTTTGTGACTTCCCATCCTCCAGCAATGGAGGAATAGCTCGGACTCATTCAATTGGCAGCCCCTGCATTCTAGGTGCAGTAAGAGAAGGAGATCCCCAACTTATGAACATCTCAAGTCTTGCCTTCTGTTGTTTGCATGCAGTTTCATTGGCCAAAGTAGTCACACAGCCAAACCCTGATTCAAGGGGTAGAGAAACATGCTCCACCTTATTTCTGCAAAAGCTGCACAGTTGCATTTTGGCATGGATGGGGAGAGGTTATGGTCATTTAAAATGCAGTCTCAGACTCTGCTCAGACCTGTTGCATCAAATATCGGAAGAAGGGGCCTGGACTTTGCCTCTTAATAAGTCTGTCAGGTGGTTTCCCCTTCTTTGTATTTTAAAATGTTGATAGTTATAAATATTACATATGAGATATGTCTTTTAAAATAAAGCGCAATAACACAATGTACATTCAAGAGCCTATCACTTCACTCAAAAGTTGGATCATTGGGCTGGCTGAGTGCCGCGATGGTTAAGAACTGGCTTGGGACGCCAGAGGGCCCTGCTTTGGATCCCACATATTAGGGCCAGTGACACTGCCCTCCACAGCTAAGATGCTGAACAACAGCTCAACCTGGAGCTGGGCTGCCATGAGTCGCCAGCGATGGCGTAGACTGCA